CGTCCAAGTTCAGCACGTGAAGCAATATTCGAAGCCTTATTACTTACGCCAAGATAATATTTACAAAAACGTAGTTGAACTTTTTCAATCGCATTTTTGTCCCATTTTTCAAAGTCTTGCTTTTGATATACACTCCAAATCTCGCATGCATAAGTTAAGATTGGTCTAATTAGTGAATCAAATAGTTTACAAGCTAATTTTGGTTTCAATCGCCTAAAATCAATTTTATTTGTGATTTTGTAAAATGCATGTAGAGCTTTTTCTTTTGATTTAGTTTGGTGACAGGAAAAATTACCAGTAGAACTTATTCGAACGCCTAAATAYGTAAATTCCTTAACAATTTCTAGGCTGTTACCATTTAAGATGAAATGTGATTGTTTTATCCTGTCCGTTTCTTTTTTACAGAAGATCATTATTTTTGATTTTTTTTCGTTTACTGACATTTGCCATTTCGTACAAAAATTATTAACAAGATTAACACAGTTCTGTAAACCAACTTGCGATTTTGATAAAAGAACAAGATCGTCAGCATATAAAAGGGAGGTGAGAGGAGAGGAGAGGAGAGGAGAGGAGAGGAGAGGAGAGGAGAGGAGAGAACTGCGTCCCTGGTTGAATATCGTGGAGTCTCTACTGTCGTGAAAGATAAAGTGTTTTTTTTTTATTCCTACTTAGTAAACTGAACTTCTCATATTCATTCTCGTAAAGCTTGCAAATCCAGGAATGAATTTTTCAGGTCCTGTTTAATTATAGTCGTGACATATTTTATTCTATATACTCATGATTTATAACTTTGCGAAATTTTGCAAAAATTTCGGGTGGCATCCTTTTGTTGAACTCTATAAAGTGCATCACATACATTTATTTTAAAATTACTTGTTTAGTTCTTCCTGACTAACGACATGTTGCCGCTAGTTTTAAATTCTAGTAGTTAACGAATTGGCATGGACACTTTTTTTGGGGGGGAGGGGGGATGGGGAGCGGGGATGGGGATGTGTTAGAAAACTCAGCTAAAACTGACTAGTTTTGGACGTCCTTTTTATAGTCGCTCGTCGGAGTAAAAGAGAACATTAGAAGGAAGAGTAGAGTTTATATAGTTCAAGGAGTTAAAAATGACCAGAAAGAAACAACATTAAAACAAAGAGCACCCTAGCTTACAGCGACGAAGGACTATCGTTCAAAACGTGAGTTAATTTTTTTACTTTCTACAAGGAGTTAGTTAAGTTTCCTTCTTATTTACTTGTTGTATTCAACACACATACGCAGTCCCAAGTACAAACCGCTATTCATTTTTAAAAGGTTTTGTGTGTGAAAACATCACACTGTTGTGCACTTCTTAGGTAGCCATGGTGCAGCATTCTGTTACATCAATTCATTCATTCTTCTCATCATTTCGTCTCTAGCCCCAGCATGATGAAATACCTAAAGAGATAGAACATTGATATTTTCATAGAAAAATACTTTCTTGGAGCATGTACACCGTTATGCAAATTATCAAGTAAGTCGCGAAAGGTTAATAGTTTCTACGGAAAATTCCATGGGAATGAGATGCGGACAAGCCATGCCAAGCGCACATGCTTATATGTTGCAACAATGTTTTGTAGTCTTGTCGTTCCTATCTCATGGAATAACTATGGTTTTACAACTAATATTATTATTCTTTTCATTTGCAATATCTATTTTTAGTAACCAAATAAACTGTTAAAGTATGGTTCCATGTACCTATACGTATTCTAACGATTTATTTAGTTGACGGTCGTGTCTACTGATAAAGGTACGTAATTTGAATATTGACAATGTTCCCTTCAATTTTCTCCCTTCGCCTTCATATGATGCACACGTTTACTGGTTCCTCCTTCCTCGACATCCTCTTTGTATTGTTTGGTCTTATTTTGCTTGCATTGAACGAGTCCCCTAAATCAACAGTACTGCCCCTCTAAATAACGATAACCCTAACATGGCGATAGGTCATTCCAAGATCGAATGGAATTATGAAATTCTTCTTAGCCCTACAAGCACAGGGGCGGATCCAGGGGTAGTAAAAGGGGAGACTAGTCACCCCCTTCTTGCTCAAATTTCTCAGTATAAAGTTGGCAACAGTTACCCCCTTTTCCTCGAATTCCTGGTAAAACGCTTGAAATAGTCATCCCCGTTCTACAATTCGTGGATCCATGTTCTTTAGGCGAGAATGATGATAAGAAATACCAGTCCTTCCAAAAATTATTGGATCTTAGAATCAGCTATGTCTTTTGGTCAAGACGACCTTTTTTTAATAGTTGTATACAAACCTGTCTATGTGTTCATCCAGCCATTCTTTGTGCAGCAGACCATTCAACCAAGTTTCAGGGAGGTGCTCCACTCCTAATTTACATCCTAACAAGGCTCCAGCAACGGCACCATTAGTATCAGCATCACCTGCCTGGAAATATGCATCAGAAATACTACCGTAAGACCATGAGTGTTGCTCGGGCCGAG